CCCGAAGGAGCTCCCGATGGGGGCTGAGAGGCTGCACCGCCCGGCCTCTCTCTGGCTTCTCCCCCAGCCCTTTGTTAAGCTCCGGCTCATGCCCGCGAGCTCCTGGCAGGGCGGCTCAGGCGGCAGCTGAGGGAGCCCCAGCGCGATCTCCGCGCGCACCGCTGCTTAAGTTTGCTGCTCGCGGGCGGGCAGCGAAGGGGAGGCGGTGCAACTGCGGGGGGAGAAGAGAGTTTCCTCTGATTCTTGTTGCTGCCCCGCGGCTCCGCGGACGGGGGAGCCTGACGCGGCGGGGCATCTTCTGCCCCGTCTCTCTTCTCGGAGGGCATCGGATGTGGAGCCTCCCTTCGCGGCAGCGTCAGATTAGCGGCCTCCCGTCGAATCGGAAGCCCTCCCAGGAATCTCCGAGTTTGGACCCTCACACGCCTCTCGGGCATCGGCTTAAGCGCCTCCTTCCCTCCCCTGGGGAGATGTTCCATTAGGGGCGACCCAGCGCGCCGCCGCCTGTTTTGCTTTGCCTTCAGTTCCGGGAGTGGATTTTATGCTTCGAGGGAGGAACGGAACCGCCTGTGTCTCCTGCGAGCCCCGCCATGTCGACGGCGATCACCGCCGCGGAAAAAGTGGATGGCTTCACCCGGAGGTCGGTGCGCAAGGCTCAGAAGCAGAAGCGGTCGCAGGGCTCCTCGCAGTTCCGCAGCCAGAGCAGCCAAGTGGAGCTCTTCCCGCTGCCCCAGCTCAAAGGTAGCTCGCCTGGTGCGGGAGGCGTCGCAGCGCGCTTGGCCTGGGGCTACAGGTGCTGCGGAGGGAGGGCGGCTTCCCCGGGCCTGTCTCGGTGGGCGGCTGCTTCCTGGCGGAGCCGTGTAGCCTCCTGTTTGGCGCCTTCCCTGCCTTCCCTCCTCCGTACCGCGTTCCCTCTTGGGGGGAAACTTCTCCACGTGCTTTCCCACTTTTTAACCTCCTTTTCTGCCAAGAAAGAGGGACAGCTTTTCTTTTCAACATTTTGTGGGATGGGTCTCACCGAGACATTTCACTGTTTTCTCGTGTTTTCAGAACCTTGCATTTTCTGTGGTTGTGATTAAGCGCTCATGTGGTCGGGTCTAAAGCATCAGCATTTCCACGCTGCTTTTGATGGTTATTCTGGTGGATGCTATACAAGTGGTTATTCAGGTGGGTTGGGGAGAAAAGAGGAACTGGAGACACACTGGATAGATTCTCTGCAAAACTTTGTTCAGAGTTCAAGCTGTTCTTTTTCTCTATTCTCCTTTAGAGCTCTTGTGCTTATGGCTTTCTTCCTGATCCTGCTGAGCTGCTGCTTCTGTTTGCTTTAAAAAGACACACACACACACACACACACACAAGCTTATTTCTCTTTAAAACTGAAGCACTATGCTAAATTTGTTGCTAGAATTCATGTTCAGATAATCCATTAATCTCCTACAAGCTCATACAACGGTTTATTATATATTCCTGCACATCTCATTATTCTTCCTTTGTGGTTTATAGCTTGTGTATTTGCAAGCAAGCCACAATTCTATACAATTATAGGCCTAAATTTGAGATTCTACCTCCAAATCCCAGCACACATTTTAACTGAATGTTGAAGTAATTTTAATAAAAGAAAGAAAATGTAAATTGGATATTAAGTATTTAAATAGATGCATGTGCCTTGTGATAATGGCATGTTTGTATAGTTAAGACTCAACTCTTAAATATTTAAATATCTCAAGTACAGGCTTCACTCTGTAAGACTTTGATATATGAAACTAATACAGATGCTGTTGTATTTCATGAATTGAAACAGATTGTTTTGAATAATTGCTGAATTATAATAGGTTATCTCCATTATGATGTACATAACTTATATTTGCTATCATGCATTTTATATGAAGGCATATATAATGTATGCATATACTGACAGTTTGTGGATATGCACTACATGATCTGCAGAATTGGCACAGTACTAAAAGCTGAGTAGTTTTGATTTGGTAATCACTGTAAGAAGTCAGTAGGACATCAGTTTAAATTTCATCAGCACTGGTGGTTTTACAAAATAGATTGTGTTTCCTAATGGGCACTTGGAAATTTCCATTTGCTGTAAGATGATTTTGTTTTTCCCTCCATGCATTAAAAAAGTGGTCATGGTAAAACTTTTAAAATATGGGGTTCATCTCTTTGTAGTATGGGGGAGGGTGCCTTCAAGTCAGTGTTGATTCCTAGCGACTGCCTGGATTGCCTGCAGTTTTCTTGGCAAGATTTCGGAAGTGGTTTTGCTTCCTTCCTAGGGCTGAGAGAGAGTGATTGGCCCAATATCACCCAGCTGGCTTTATGCCTAAGGTAGCACTAGAACTCACAGTCTCCCAGTTTCTAGCCTGGTGCCTTTAACCACCATACCAAACCGGCTCTCTCTTTGTAGAGTTTAATGTAATTATTACAGGATACATCTCTGATTTAAATCCTGATAACCTTATTGTGGTATGTTTACACTTTAATGCTGTGTAATCTGTTGAGGTGCTTGCACATTAATAGCAGTTTTGTATTGTGTGTGTTTTTTTATTTTGGAAGCTGGCTGTTTATCTATTATATATTGGCTACTGATCCAAAAAAACCAAATGATTGAAGAGTAGACATGGAAGACATTTAACAGTTGTACCCCACTATAATTTGTTCACCTACCAGTAGATTTTTAATTGTTATGCTGACTTTCTTCTCTACCCAATGTCAGTTTATGCCAAGTCAATCTATAATAACCAATGAAGGGGCTAACTTTAGGCATATTACTGAAAGCTGAGTGAACCAGATCTAATCAGCTCTCTTTGGTGGTTCTTGCAACAGCATCAGCATAGATTTGAAGGATATGGGCGTTAGTTTTCTCTTTAATCTGAATCAGATTAAACAACATTAATATTTTTGACTGATTAAATATCTTTGGATATATTCTGTTGGAAAGTCTCTAGTATTCTTTCAGTTTATACGCTAGTTTACAATAGAATAAAAAGTAGTGTTTGTAATATATGATTATTTAACTTGTCAACTGTCAACATTTCTTAATAAATATCTATTTAAAGAATGCATGAAAGGTGGTAGCATTGGAGACTGGCATGCTACAGAGGGAAGGTAATTTTACAGAACAGATATTACTGCAGTGAAGCTTATCTTAACATCATAGACAAGCTGTGGCAAGGATTTATGCTTTCACCTCAGTTTTCGAACTCTTCTTTTTCCTGAAGTCCCTCAGTTCATAGAAATCCTTAGAAGAGATACCTGTTTCATTCTCTGTAAGTTTCTTTGAAAGCAGCAAGATGGAGGTGATGTTGATGCTGCTTCTGCAAAATTGTTCCTTCTTCCTAAATTCTTTCTATAGAATTCAAAAGAGAGAAGCTGTTAGTGGTTGCAAACAGTAGCTAGAGATTAAACCAAAGCAAAATTTGTTTCACCTGAGCTTGTTTTCTGTGTATTGAGGAGTCCACCTAGAACTTTTGCTTAAAATACGGCATGATGGTATCGTCTTGTCATTCTGAAGTTTGTGCTATAATTAGTCCCAATTGTTTGTAATGTATTATATAAGCTGTTTGTAAAGGAGTGTCTTTACAACATTAACTCAGTTTCTGTTCTCTTTAAAAAATACAGCTGGAAAGTAATAGACATACCATTATAAATATTACTGAACTGAATCATTATAATGGATTATAAATCATGCTAAAAGGTAATGGGGTTGGTAAAATGCCAGGTAAGTTCTGCTCAAAGAACGATTTTTTTCCATAGATGCAAGGGAAAGCCATGCAACTAAGCTTTTCTAATCTGCAGTTTCCTGTAACAAGTGACGTATAGTTTAAATATGGAAAGAAATCCTGTTTGTGTTATGATAAGACGTCACAATTTATGACGTACCTCACCAGTCTTACATAAGGCCTTCTGCAAATGTTTCATATTGTCTTTTTGCAATCCTGAGAAAATGGCAAAATCAGGAAGATTATGAATTCTGCAGTTAGGGTTGCTTTCCCTCACCTGGTGCCTTCCAGGTGTGTTGGAATTGCAGCTCCAGAATTCTAAGCCAGACTCTGCTGGCTGAGAGTAATTAGTAGTCCCAACATATCTGGGTGTACCAGGTTGATGTAGATTGACCTAAGGAACAAGGCAGGGCATCAAATTATATTTATACTGAATAGTTAATTGGCACAGAGTTTGGTAAAAATGGAGGAAATGAAATGGGTGTGCATGTTATGGACTGGTTACATTGGAGGCTAGTGAGTTTCCAAATATGGCTTTATTTTGTGATCTTGAGTTGACTTAATAAGGGTTTTGCTCTATTATAGATTTTGTCCCATGATCAATATGGCCTACCTTTTTCTTTTTATGTTCTTTAGAGAATGCTGAATTTAGCTGGTGGGATTCTGCATTGAAAGGAGAGCATTTTATATCAACTGGAACTTTATTCTCATAGGGTACATTTTCTCCAACCTCTAAATAAAGCTAAACTACTCTTATCAGGTGCATCACCTAACATTTTCCAGTTGTTTAAATACAAAAACAATAATCACTGCTGTCTGGAATGCATGTTTGAACAACCAAAATGAGTACTCTTCTTTCTGGAGAAAAAAACCCTAAATAATGGTGAAAAGTATGCTGTATTTTAAAAAAATATTTCTGTCATGGAAACTTAGTAGCATATTCCCTAAGCAGTTCTGCCCCCACCCTCCATATGTGGCATTTTTCAAATCCAGATGAATTTACCTTAATGTAAAATCTTGCTACTTGTAAACCGCGAGGTGACATAAATTTATGGAAATAAATTTGCAGGCTGCTTGATTCTGAGAGCTAAAATTGGGCAGAATTGTCTTTTATTTATTTTCCTTAATGTAGTCTGTGGAGAACTAATTAAAACCTTGGAATAATGTAACTTACTTTGGCCAGTAAGATACTAGTATTGTTGAATAATGAATTTTTAGATATAAAAAACTTGTGGAAATTTTTCTGGAAAAGTTAATGTTAGTTACGTGCTGGGACCTATTTATGTGAGTTGAATTTTAAAAATATGTGATGAATAAAGAAGTGGAATCGAACTGAATTTTCATTCTCCTGTTTCATTCTGCATGGTGCATTAATTGGTCTCTGTAGAGGAATAATGCAGACATAAATATAGGATATTCATTTTGCTTGTATAATGGTTAAAAAAATAGAGATTTTAAAAGATGTAGTATGAATATTGGTTTGTAGTAGAATATATGGTAGCCGTTCATCTTGACCAATTCTGCACTAAATTATTGCTGTTTATTGGAAATCCACACTATATCATTCATTTGAATTGTGGTCATTTAGTGGTCCTTCATATAAGTATTTGTTTTCAGTAGATTCATTTTACACTTCTGTGGTATGTAATCAGGACAGTGTAATTTGGTGCAACACGTGGCAATTCTTTTTGACAGTAGAATGTTGTACACTAGTTGAAATGGTGGCTGAGTGATGTCTGCCATATCATAAATCTTATTTAGAAGTCTGACTTTGCATATACTCATGGGATTACAGTATCAAAACAGTGAGAAAATGACTCCTTGCTTCTGATTTTGGCCAGCTGTTGAATGCCAGTTTTGTTTTCCTTAAGAATCTAAACCCGTTTGAAGCAGATCAGTTGTTCTTGCTCTAAGGAGAGCCTCTCTAAGGAAATGGGATAATTGCCATGTAAAACCCAAGCCTTTCCTGACAATTTTTGATCAAACAAATTGTACAAAGTCAGTGTCATATAG